CCGGCTGCAGGAGAAGCCAGCCAAGAAAGAGGGGCAGAAACGGTTAAAGTAGCGGGTAAATAAAATTCCCAGTAGAAAAACGTGGTCTGGGCAGAGAAAAGCATCCTTTCCAGCACTGCCAACCCCACATAGTCAAAAATTATGCATCAGGCTCCAGAGAATCACGGCTTAAAAATCACAAGGGTTTTTGTTCTGTTTTTTAAAGAAAATTATAAATATTTGAGCTTTTCCTAATTGCACTCTGGTTTCTTGAACTTTATGATTGCATTTTCAAACTTTTCTCCAAATCCCTGAGGGCTACAAACTTCTACATTTTTATTATAAAATAAAGTTGAGAAGCTCACCTAATGCCCACAGCTTTGGGGCAAACAGCAAAGATCAAAAGACTTATGCTAAAATGAGGAGAATAGGAAATACTGGAGATCTCAAGAATGAACACCCTGCAGTATACGTGTCTCTTACTATTTTTATCCAGTGTTGCGCGAAAACACTTTTAGAAGATATTTTGCTGTTTTAACAAACATCACATTGCTTAAGTACTTTATTTGCCAGCATGAAGAGCAGGTCTTCAGTGACATTTTGCCTCCGAGAACAATGTTGCTTGCAGCCAAGGGCTGCAGAAAAGTTAAAACTGAGGCTGCTGTCCCAGCCTAAGGGGACCAGAGGAGCATGCAGTTTCCAAGAGCATGTTGTGTGCTCTGGGTTGCTGCTGTTCACAGAGCAGGGAAGGTTGGGAAACATCATCCAAGGTGAAACCCAGACCTGACCTTCCATCTTTAGCCTGATCCATACAGAAACTTATTGCCCAAAAGTGGCAGGTGGGGACCATCCAACTTACTTTCTTCATCTCCGGAGGCGCTGAAAGGACTGCCATATGTTTTCACAGGGATACCTGTGTTACGGAGCAGATCGACTGTGACAAATGTATCAGCCTGTAAAGAACTTAGTGATCCTCCAAGATTAAAGGCTGATCTGAGCGTGGACTAACTATCATGCCTCTTGAAAGGATCTGGCTTGTAACAGCCTGCTTATCGATTACTGCCTGTAAGAGAAGGTGATACTCTCTTTTGAACTGATTCTGTTAGCCTTATTTACCGTAACACTTGCTGAAACATCCTCTTGTAGAGATAATGGCTTCCTTTGGTTGCTGTCAGAATGAACAAATGGAAATAAAAATGTGCTGCTAATAATTGTGTCCTACTCTAATTAAAGCAAGACAAAAGCATTGCACTGCTGGGTTTGGCTCGCCATTGTCTGGGTGCTTGGACAAGCCCGAGCACATGGGCTGACCACAGGAACACCAATAACCAAAAGACAATGGTGCCTAATTCATCTGTGGAACTCAAAGCCACAAGGTTTCCACCAGCCCAGAATCTTGGCAAAACATCCAGGATGACAAGGAATACACTTGGCACCCAGACCGGGATTGAGCACCCGGAGGTGCTGCTCTAAGCAGAGCTCAACCCACGTGGGCCTAAGGAGCTGCAAAAGGGGAAGGCAGATGGTGAAGGACACAAATAAGCAAAAGTTTTTCAACACGCCTCTTGAAATTTTCGTGGCACATCTGCACCATGCAGAAAGGCCAATGGCTCAGTTCAGGCAGGAGGCAACAAAGGATGGCACATACCAGCTCCCAGGGTGCTGGGGACCCTGAACCCTCCTTGGACCAAAGGACGTACCTAGAGCCCATCGCACCAGGTTCCCCGTCTTCCCAGTGTTGCATCAAGGCACGGTGGAGCCCAGTACCACGTCTCCCATCCTCCAGGGTCTTTATCCTCACCGTGCCACCAGGAAGCAAAACGTGCCTTCAATCCCTGCCTGCAGAGGTGGAAGAGATGCAGAAATTTGCTTGCCTGTGTCCTACAGCAGGGGTAAGCAAGGAAATAGGTCCAGCTCTCTTCCCTTGCAAGCGAGCACCATAACCTCTGCATGTCCTGCCTCTTCAGTCTGAATCAAGGTCCCATCACAAGGGGTGCCACCTGAAGAAAAAGGGAACAAAATAAGTGGGGGAAAAAAGAGCAAAAGTCCCCCAAAATCCAAACTAAAAAGCAGTGGCATAACCACATCACTGAGCACTCACAGAGCTTGCCCTGTAAACAAACAGGTGACCATATCCAAGTACTGCTTTACACCCAGATATTTATTTAGGATTACTCCACTGATTGATTGTGGATCACGCAAGAGCTTAGCCAATAGTCCAGGACTGAGCCAGAGGCGGCCAGGCTTCAAACTTCCCCTGGGACATGGTTTCAGGTGCCCCACCTCAGCTGCAGTGCTACCTTGTGAAGCCCTGCTGTCCCCCATACCTGCTCGGGGCAACTCCCTCAGGCTGGCACACTCGGGGCGCCCCAGTGGGCTACGGAAGCCGTGCTTTCACAGCGGCCTTTTTGTGGCTGATGAGAATCAAAGCAGGCTTGAAAGAAAACCCTTCTGTAGCTTAATGTGCTATGCTTATCTCTTATTAAGCTTGGAT